TTTTTTAAGGTTATATTGTTTTCAACAAAAGAGTGTGAAATACATTTTTAACCTAATTAATTTTTACAGAATGGAATTTCATAAAATAATGTCTTCACTAAACGTTTAGTAATAAATATTAACTACAGCAGATACTGGCAATAGATTACATAGTGCTTGAGATTGTTGTCTTTGGGGCCTGATAGATTTCAGTTCAAATCTCAGCTCTACCATTTGATAGAGTTTTAGTTTCCTTATTGGTAAAATTGTGCCAGAAATGTCTCTTTCACTACTTTTATAGTAAAGATTAAATGAAAGAATTTTCAGACATATAGTAGACACTCAAGAATTGGCAGCTGTTTAGTTGAATGAGCCTTTCCGGTGTATTTGAGTAGTACGTGAGCTGAAATCTATCTCACTCTGTCCTTGTACCTGTACCGTGGGATTGGGTATGTACTCTGAAGAATGTATTCTAATCAACCTCTTATACCCTGATAAACCCTGAGTTTATTAATCGTGTAGTTCTGCTTAGCTTGAGATTTTTCTCAACATGTTTGCAACATGCCAAACAAAGTTTGTTTAAATTTTAGAAATTGTGTATTTATTCTAAAAGTAGAAAATGTATTCCCTAAATATTTAGAGATTTGAGTTAGACTCCCTGAACAGTGGATTGGTTTCAATTTCAAGGTCATATCAACATTTCTCTACCATTTATTTGCTTTGGTAAGATAATCCTAGCCAATACACATTTTAACAGTATTTGAAACGGTGCAGTCCTGTGAAGGCTGACAAACCTGAATTCAAATATCGTTTTAACTGTTTATACAGTATTGAACTCTTTTCATAGAGATTTCTTGATATATATGTGCTTGATCAGGTCACTTTGCTAAGCCTTTAAGCAAATTTATTTATATTTATCCTTAGAAATTCTGTCGTACACAGAGAATTGGCAAACTTACTGAAGTCTTTTCATAGAGATTTCTTGATGATACATGTACTTGATCAGGTCACTTTGCTAAGCCTCAGTTTCCTCCTCTGTAAAATCAGAATAATAATTACTACCTTACAGGGTTGTTAGAGTTGGTAAGTGTGAAGCACCTGAAATTGGGCCTGTATACAGGTGGTCTTCAGTAAAAAAAAAAAAGTTATAAGTAAAATGAGGATGAAAATGCTGCTTTGTGGCTTGGCACCCATAGCACAACTGCAACCAAAAAGTAGCCAGGCATTGTGCCGAGTGCCTATAGTCCCAGCTGCCCAAGAGCTTGAGGTTGCTGTGAGCTGTGATAGCATGACACTCTACCCAGGGCAACACAGTGAGACTCTGTCTCAAGAAAAAGAAAGAAAGAAAATGTTGCTCTGTGATAGTGATCCCTAAATGGGGCTAAAAAATCTTGCAAATCTGATTACTTTGTCTGCCTATGCATGTATTTCTGTCAGTACAGACAGACTTTCCCACTGTGCAATATATTACTTAAATATAAATCAGAAAGGTTTGCCTGGCCAGGCACAGTGGGTCACACCTGTAGTCCCAGTACTTGGGAAGCTGAGGTGTATAGATTGCCTGAGCTCACAGGTTCTAGACCAGCCTGAGCCAGATTGAGACCTCGTCTCTAAAAATAGCTGGGCATTGTGGCGGATGCCTATAGTCTCAGCTTCTTAGTAGGCTGAGGCAAGAGAATCACTTAAGCCCAAGATTTGGAGGTTGCTGTGAGCTATGACATGCCACGGAACTGTACCAGGAGTGACAAAGTGAGACTCTGTCCAAAAAAAAGGTTTGCCTGTCTTACTATTTCTAATCTTTAGAGATAAATGTTTATAGTAAAATCATTCTCTTTTTATACATCATCCATTATCTTTATGGAAATTAATTTGTCTTCCCCTCTGGGCATACATTCAGTTGTATTTCACCAAAATATATGAATTGCATCATTTTTAAAACTCAGTTCTTTATAGAAGTAAATATAGATTATC